AATTGTCAAATCGAATTAGGGATGAGTCGTGTAAACGGGGTAATTGACCAAAGTAATTCAGAAGCGAACTACGTAATTGGCAGTGCTCGTAGGGACTTTCTATCCGCAACCCGAATTTCAACAAAACGTTCTATATAACCCGGAAAAAAGCTATATTTTTCGAGAATACGGGTGTGACCCTGCAATCTTGATTCCCTTTGCCCTGTCTCTCTTAACCGAAGTGCAGCAAGATATGCCATATGCTGACCCACTAGATCTTCAATGATAATTCAAAAAGGCATTTTAAAGCATAATTTGGCGTTGTCCAGATTCCTCCGCTGATGCAGATCATACTAATCCTCTGTACTTTGCTGAGGAGATTAAGATAATAGGCCTTATCCTTAAGACCAGTTTAAACATCGCAGGTGCAAAATAAAATGTGATTGGCCAGGAATCTGATGCACTTAGCTAGCACTTTGCATAGATTGACCAGAGTAACATATGTATGTACGTCGGAAAGGGGCAAAGTTACACTCGTCAGGATCAAACATTTGGCGCTAAAGTGGTTTTGCGGTTTTCACCGACTCTTGGCTGTTGACTGCTACATGGGGCATTTAGTTCGCTTTTGTCCTTTTTTTTGTATTCAAAATTTCTTTTAGTTGCAACACCGGTCTTAAATTACACAAAGCTATGTTTTTTCTTATTTATTAGCAGTTAGTTCTGCTTAAGAACCGAATAAGAATGAAGAACCAGTAGTGTAGTAAGTATTCCGAGAAAAGTCAACCACATGCAAGCGTATGCGTTTATAAGTGTACATAATATTGTACTTTATTTTTCTCTGCCATTTATTTTTATTTTTTTTAGTGTGAAAGGGAAAATTTTAACGATTACGCAATCTGCATTACACATAAATCAGCATAGCTTGTCCCGAGTTTCAACTCCGTTCGACTGCACTACACGGAACACGAACACCCTTGATACATACCTACATACATATATATTTATGTATGTACGCTGCTTTAATGTGGGAATGAGGCTGAAGGGAAATAAGTGATGCATGATAATTGACTAAGTGCGAAGGGAATGCGAGTGGGCGTTGAAATGCAAACAATGACAGTCGCATGAAATATACTTTGTATAGTACATACTCATGCATGTTGACTTGTATTTACATACATACATATGTATGTACATTAAAGTGGTCCAAAAATGTATGTGAAAAAATAAGGTGGGATTTTAAGGCCGCCACCCCCTAGGATTGTCCTATACCGAAAAAAAGTGTTCAAAGCGCTCAAAGTTTTCCATGTATTTTATATGGGGGAAAAACAACTTTTCGTAGAAATAGTGTAGAATTCTTGAAAATCATTTGTTTTCGATCGGAAAACTTTGATTTTCTTCAGGAGATTCCTAGTAATAATACCCAATTGTTTCTTTAACCATTTTTTCACGGTAACTATATTTTATAGGTCCTCCAAAACCCCTAGAAAATGCAATGGTGGGACCAATAAAAAATCTTTAATATTAAAAAATGGTTAAATAAACAATGGGATATTAATATTTGTAAGTCTCCTGAAGAGAACCACAGTTTTCCGTTCGAAAAATATTGATTTTCAAGAATTGTATTGTATTTATACGAAAAGTTGTTTTTTCCGCATATAAAATACATGGAAAACTTTGAGCGCTGTGTGTGATTTCAAAAAAAAAAAAATATAGGTATATTTTTTCGGTTCAGAACAATCCTAGAGGGTGGCGGTATTAAAATCTGACTTTATTTTTTTTGGACCACTCTAATGTACATACATACATACGTACAAATAAGTATATACTAAGTTTAGAAGTAGGTATGCGAGTTATTTGCAAGTCATCGAAATGGCGTGGGGATTTCCATAGTACTACATATACATACATACATACATACGTACTTTATTTAATGGTTTTAGGCATGGAACGTTAAAGCGATTCGCATTTCTTTTTAAATACCGAAAATCAAACTTCACTACCAAATAATGACTTTTAATTTGAGTTTCTGAAGTAATATTCCAGCGCATACTTTTGCAATGAAAAGTTATTGGAGCTTTAATTTTACTTCTTGCAAAATTTTTGGCAAAGAAAAAGGGAATGGTGTTTGAAACTATTATTTTAAATCGACAAACGTAAAAGTGTTTGGCTATTTTAAGCTTTTGTTTTTTTTCCACTCGGTGCATTCAGTTTCCCAATGACATATTTATTCGAAATGGCGTCGAACTATAGGCTGTAAAAATACTTTTCGCACATAAATTGTAATGCTATAAAAGGGCGTTATTGCATATTCATAGGCGAAATAAGTCGACTCTTAAGTTAAATAGTTGCAAATTTTTTAAAAGATATTTAGTTGATAACTATGAATTGTGTAAGCGATTTTGAGACCATCAAAAATTAAAAAAGAATTAAAACAAAAATATGGAAAAAAGTTTTAAGAATGAATAAAGACAAAAAATTAATTATAACACAATTAAAAAAAATCAAAATTTTTAAATTCAAATGAATGCCTTTATATCTCTTTTTATTTGTTGGTTTATTTATTACGATACTTTTGGCAGATAACACTTAGTTTTAAATAAAAAAATAAAATTATTTTTAAATACTTAGTAGATAATTATTTTTTCCAAAAATATTACATTTTCAACCACAGGACAGCTAATGCATAGGAAGCTTATACAAATTAAAGCTAAAAATTATTTTTAAATAATATAAATAAATTTAAAGAGTAAATAAAAACAAAAAATTAATTAACAAAAAAGATAACAAAAATAATTTAAAAATTTAAGTGGCTGCCTTTAAATATCTTTTTGGTTGTTGGTTTTTCATTCCGCTGCTCTTCGTTGTAATTGTAAAAACTTAGTGTTAAATAAATTATTTTTCCCACAAATTTTGTGTGTTTCAACCATTGTGCCGCTAACACCAAGGGAAAAGATGACAAATGTTGCGCTGATTCCATTTATCGCCCTTGTAGAGCAAATGAGCAGCCGGCGTAAAGGGATATCTATGACGAAAAAACACTAAGCGCAACATTTATCCCTTTAACTTGGTCGTCTAGTTTGTTTTGTTACTATTTCACTATTCTATATCCCTATCCCTACACGAATATTTGTGCATTCGAAGTGGCATTGTCTTGACTAAGGCAGGAAAGAAAGCTCATTTCCAAGTATGTATGTATATGTACACTGCATTGTCGCTGCTATTGTGGTTGTTGTAGTTGCTGTCGCTAAAATGCTGAAGTTTCGTTTGTTATACTTAGCTACACGCAATCGAACATTACACTGAATAAACAAGGATTCTTGGGAATCCACATACATACATACATACATGAAAAATATATGTATGTATTATATATGGTATACATATGTACATATGTGCGCTCATAATCTAGTTTATTGCGTTTTCTTGCTCTTGGACTTGCTATTATTCAACCGAAAAACCGCAACAGCAAGCAGCGCAACGGTGGCATGAAGTGAACGCACAATTTGTAAATGTTACGTATACGCCATGATGGCCCACACAATCACCGAGTATGTAGAATGCCAATACTATGTACATATAAATGTGTATGGAATGTGTATTGTTGCGAACGCTTTCGGTTGTTCGGGGTTCGCCTGCTCTTGTGGGTGCTGTCTTGGCGGCGATGTGCACACTTGGGGGATCTCGCTGGCGATTCATCACATTTGCCGAGATATGTACGAGTATTAGAAAAGTAACCAAAGTGTAAGTATGTATGTATGTATGTATGTACGAGTATGTATTTTTGTTTGATTGTGCGTGAATCCGCATTTGTTTGTGGCTTTTAATACGAATGGACAGACGACGTTAAGGGACAAGGGCCATAGGTACATATGGTGAGTGACTGGAATAGCTTGAATGACTTGAATTGCCGAAATGCGTCCAACGAAAGTGATTCACAGTCAAAGTTAATTTACGCCTAGTGGGTATATTGGTGTATGTGTGTGTGTGTGTGTGTGAACATGCAAACCTACGTACGTAAGATTATGCGAATTTATTTCCGATTTAATTTAAAAGATTTCTAGAAAAGACAAAAAACCGAATCTGCATTTCTAAAAGTTTGTGCGAAAAAATTAGTTTGTAAATGCTAATAAGTGGTCTCAAAATTTAAATTTCTAATGAAATAAATGAAATTTCAACTTTAAATATTTCTGAAGTGCATATGTACATATGTACATGGGTCAGGGTGAGAATATTCCTTTCCACTGATACCTCATAAGTTTAAATCCGTATAGTTTTTACTGAGTTATTCAAGTTTTTCTTAAAAGAATCTTTGAAAAAGGTAAAAAACAGCATCAAAAATCTTATTATTATGATTCCGTTGAATTTTTTTTTTAATATTTTTATGCAGATTTTTTAAGCTTAAACTGTTTTGTCATCTGAGGGTATTTTTTTTTTCAAAAAATCCTTTAAGAAACTTTTTTTTCATACAAAGCTCCTATTTTGGATGCACATATTTTCAAATCGGTGCAGCTCTCGTAAATCTTAATATTATTCCGAAATATTTGGGTGGAAATCTTCAAATATAATACATTTTGTAATCCCGGCGGAAAACCAAAACTTTTTTGTTTGTGCAGCCTAATGTTCATACAAATGTTTTATTTTTAACTTTACTTTTTTAATATTTTTAAGTTAAAATTTGTGTGCTGATTTATCTGCTGGATTACCCTACATCTAAAAAAAAAAACTTGGGCGTTTCCTATAAATTCGTAAAAGTAGAATAGAGAGAATATTGTACATGCATACATTTACAATTTTTCTTAACCCTGCTTCTCCCAAAAATACTTGAATTATTTATTTAAAGACACAAAAAAAATTTTAGGCTAAACGTTTTTACGCTGACTTTTGAAGTTTTTTATGATAATATTTTGATTTTTTGTTTTTAATATTTTTTCATTTTTCCACTTAATATTTTTAAGTAAGTTGCTTTGTCTGCTTTTATGACAATTATTTTTCTTTTTCTCATTAAAGTATTTTTTTTTCAGATAACGATTGCTCAATAGCAGCATAGTGGACTTCTGCATATCGAAATTAACCTTTAAATCACAAGCTAACACAGAATAGCTTTCAAATTAGAATAGTTTGAAAATTTCATGATTACAAAAATGTGGTTGTCCATCTTATCAGCATGAAATGCAATCTTAAGGTAAGTAAAAATTTTAAATATTCCATTACTACTTTTTCGACACTGAACTCATTCATGTCTCCAACATATTATTTGTAATATCCTTGGTTTCACACATTTCGAAATCAATTTCTATCAGAAGTTTCTAAAAAATTCTTATTCAGGACGATTCTGTACAGAAACTCCCTGGGAGTTTTCTCTCTTTTCCCTTTCCCCGTATCATGAATAAAAATTCCCTGAGGATTTTTTATATTAAATGGTGGAGTTGAGCTCTCAATAAAGTGTCAAACAGCTTTTTCGAGGTTCGAGTATCCTCCTCCCAAGTTTTCGGGGAAAATTCTACTACCTGGTAGTTAATTATTGGAGGATTTCTTTCTCGAGAGACATAAATTCCCGGAGAATAAATTGGGCTGATTAATTGTGAACCCTTTAGCTTAGAGATTTCACGAGAGATGCTATCCAAATTGGATCTAAAAAATATTTCATTCGCTATTCGAGAAGTGGGCAAATTTGTCTTAAGTAGTCGTTGTTGCATACATATGCATCTAATGTTGCATAGTTCTAGGCGCGTACGAAGCTAAGGCCTCTAAAACCCAGTTTTTGGCTTTTGGCTTCATTGTTTTTTTAAATATTTTATTTTGGTTTTTTGAGGTTAGAAAGCGAAAACAAGCCATCTTTTAAATTCTCACTTCAAATTCGGACGCAGAGATACAAAATCGTAATCGGTAAACGTTGCCTAATCTGTGAGGCTGTGTGATCGATAATTTCTATGAAATTTCGTTCAAGAATCGATTTTCACCCGATTAAACGATAACAAATTAATCGATGTGTTTTATAATAATAATAATAATAGATTGGCGCTTACACATATGTTAGTGTTTGGCCGAGCTTCTACTCCGATTTGTGGCGTGCGCCTTGATGTTGTCACACAAAGCGGATATCTATATGTATAAGGCAAAACCGTATTTAGCTCTTATTTAAAATTTTACTGCCACGCCACAACCTACGCCCGCTGTGTTGCACCAGAATTTTATAAATAGCTCTCAGTTAACTGACTATTGAATGGAACTGTTTTGCATAGATTTATACAAAAATATAGATATTTGTAGAAAGTAGATATATTTATGCAATTATAACTGTTGTATATTAGACCGGGTCGGCCTCCATACAAAGGTAAAAATTTGGAAAAGAAAAATTTGGTAAATCGAAATTGGATTTCGCAGCCATACAAATTTTCGTCCTGTCGATTTGCAAAGACAGCCAAAATGGAGTTTTTTTTTGTAAACATTTTACTTTTGCAACGATTTAAATCATGATAGATATACTACGTTTATACGCATGCATAAGTCGCCTTAATTCATTTCGCCGCGATTCAAAACATATGTGTAAACTGAATTTCAATTCGCTTTGAAAGAGCGAAGTGTTTTGGCGCACACTCCATTTCAAATCGGTAGTTTAATTCTCCAGACAGTTAGAAAGAGTGTATAAACACCGCTCTCAATCAAAGCGAATTGGAGATCAGCTGTTCCGCTCAAATTCCAAATAATCGCATGAGTATTTAAAAGCTGATTAATAATAATCGTTCTTTTTCCTTGCCACGATTTTATAATGCCGAATAAAACTAGATTTTTATCACTTTCCATTATGTTAACTTATAAATCACAATAATGTCAAATGAAAACTGCTGATTTTGTTTGCTTTTGAAGACGGTTACTTTGATGCCGCTATAAAGCCGTAAGTATAGACACTAGAGCGAAATGTGTACGGTGTCAATGCGCTTTCATTTAAGTCGATTATTCTGTGCGTATAAACGTAGTAATAGATAGTTTAAAATATATTTTTGAGTACTTATCTTGAAAAAATGCATAGCATGCATAATTTTATGGTAACTAAATTTTGGCTGAGTCGGATAGAAATTGAAATATGTAGGATTTAAAAGTTTATATTGTGCTTAAAAATTGCTTTTAATCGATATGTCATACCTTGAAATCGGATTACTAGTAAACAAGTTATGACTAGATTTCACGTTTGGCTATTCTTAAGGCCAAACTTCTCTCAAAGTAAGCATTTACAAAAAATTGTTTTCGCGACCCAATCTACTATATACATATGTAGCATGTAATATCTAATAGCGTGGGCCGAAAATCCGATTTTTTAGACTTTTGATTGGTAATAGCAAAAATATGGTTCATTATGCTCTAAAATAAATTTGTGGGAAATGTGAACATTTTTGGCCTAGGATGGCTGGCTCGCCCAAGTCCATCAAAGATCAAGTAATAAAAATATTTTTTTAGCTAACTTCGATTCTCCACAAAAAAGGTCCATATACCAAATTATGTAGGACTAATACTTTCGAAGATTATTGCAATTTTAGCAAAAAAACGTATTAATTAATTAATTTATTAATGTTTATTTTTTGAGCATATTGAACTTTGATGGACTTGGGCGAGCCTAGGATATTGACCAAAAAATACCAAATTTCACACAGATTTTTTTAAAGCATAATGAGCCATATTTTTGCTATTACCAATCAAAATTCTAAAAAAGCCGATTTTCGGCCCACGCTAATATCTAAATAAAGTTTTTATTTACCCTTTCCGTTAATTGCAGCAAATCCGATGGCTTCATTGTGGTCGTCGTCGTCGTCGTCAGTGCTGGCTGTTGAGTGGTCTTTTAGATTGCAATCCGGCTGCTGTAGCTGTCGCTGTTGTTTGGCGGTTTGTTTCTTTTGATATTCCGCCTCTTCTTTTGCTTTAGACGCTTTGTTGTTGTTACTTTATTGTTATTTCTTTTTCGTTTGACTCGTTAGTTGCAATATCCCAGCCAGCGATCCAAAACAATCAATAGCCAGAGGTGGTAAAACGTCCCACAGCAAGAGACTAACTGCTTTTAGCTATTTTCGCGTTGTTATTTTTATGATTACTATCACTGCTGTTGCTTCCACAATTATCTCTGCTTAGTCTATCACGCCTAAGCTTTTTATAGCGCCGGCTGCTTCTACTCTGTGTCTGCTCTGCCTTTGCACTTGTATGCCTACTGGTCTAGTTTGCGACTACACCTGCACCAGCTGTTGTCAGTGCCTCGCCTTTAAGTTTAACTTGGTGTGTAGTATGTACGTGTTCACTTTAAATTGATTTTATGTGCAGTTGGCGACGTCATTGGCCTCGTATTCAACAGTTTTTCCAAGCTTCAGGTGCAGAGTATGCGCCTGCTACCACGACCACTGCAGCTGTGATGACGACGGCGTGTTGCTGGTTGGTGTTGTTATTGTTTGCTGTTAATGCTTCTGCTACTTTTACGCGTGCTTCCACTGCAACTGTTGGTGGTTTTTTTTTATGGTTGGAGTTGTTACTGTTTTTGGTTGTTATTATTCTTTTTTTTTGTTATAGCATTCGTTGGCTATTTTGAGCCTTAAATTAATCATTTTTCATATCGTTGCCGATTCCTAATGATTTTTTATATATTTTACTTTATGTTTTCACGTTAACTTTTTGCACGTTAAATCAGATTAAAAGCTGGAACGGACAGTAGGTTGTAAAGGAAGACTCTACATACATATTTAAGCAGGAAGGAAATTATAAGAATGCTGATAGTTTGTAAGATTTCTCCGACAGTGGACAATTTTAGTAAGTTTTCTACAATCTTTAACAGTATTCCAAAACTACCTTCTTTAAACTTGCAAATATTTTTTTTTTTTTTTTATAAAAGAAAATTTCATTGCATTTAAGGACTACGATTTGAGGATGCAGCTGAGGGAAGGTGTCTCTCCCGGCTGGTTTATGTCCTCGTGAATGCCAAGGAAGGCAACACTACTATGCAATCGATGTGATCGACAGGGCAAGGTAAGCAGATAATAGGACCTTGCGACGCTTAGTACCATTGCCGGTGAGGAAGTGATCGGATATCCGTGAGTTGGCAGAAAGAATTTGTATGAAGGCGAATATCAATCCGCAGCAGAGCAGTAAGACGTTTGCGTGCGATCAAGCGCAAAGTAAGCTATGCGCAGTGTTGCCAGATTTTACTTTCAAAAAACTGGAAATTCCTAGAAAAAAACTGTATTTTCAACAAAACAACTATAAACTTCACAAAGGAAAGGATTTTTGGAATGTTAAGGTCTTTTAACTGTATAATTGGATTCAGCGGACCCCTTTTTATTCAAAACAGAAAGTGCTGCACCTACGTCACTTCGTTTTCACTTAAAAACCAAAAAAAAAAGATATGTTTTAATTTATTCTTTCAAATCTGAAATTGAAAAAACTGTGATTTACAGTTAAAACTGTGAATATGGCAACACTGGCAATACGAGAAATAAGAAGAACGGCGGGAGCATATGTATGTCCAAAATACTATTAAACTAGGAATAAACAGATTTCACTTTAGCTTTGACCAAATTTTCACAGTTCGTCAAATCTTGGACCACCTTTTCGTCAACTTTGGGCAGCACAAAGAGAAGCTAGCTCTGCCACACCATGTATAAATTTGCTATGCCTGTATAACCATGTAAGGTGACGTTGAGTTGACGGTTTAAGTTCCGTTCATATTGGGAATGAGCTCTTTGCGACATTCCAGGTCAAACATTGTTTTATGACGAGCGACTTACTTTCGTGCGACTTCTTCAATCGGAAATTGGAAAGCGTAGTACGAGGTGTAATCTAATTTTTAATTCACTGAACCAATTCCTTTTACAATTTTGTAGTTTGTAGTAATATTTATTTGTTTTATATTTAAAGTGTGTTTTATACCTTTTTTTACACATTTTGTTTAATGCCTCGCAGTTTTAATTTATTTTTTATTTTATCTTACTCCCATTTTTATTTATATTTTATATAATTTTTTGTTTTTAACCGACTTCAAAAAAAGGAGCATGTTATCGAATCGTCGGAATATTTTTTTTTTGTATGTATGCTGCCGCATACAAAGGAATTAAAGGAAAGGTGCT